AGATAGATAGATAGATAGATAGATAGATAGATAGAGTAGAAGAATTCCTCTTGCTATTTGTCATTGTTCTCGTGCAGACAGAAGCCACCAAGCAGGACTAATACAAACCCATCAATGTGGAAGTCTCACGGGAGCCCATAATAAGCCATTAAACAGGCGCATTAGGAGTAATGAAAAGGCTCTTAGTGGTTTACCACTGCAGGCCACCTGGATTACTCTTCGTGGAAGTGGGCGGCGGCTGTGATTGTCTAACGGCTCGGCTGCAGCACAGTGAGGTCAGAAAAAATATGATAATGCGAGCTCTACTCTGCATATCTATACAAGCTTTAAATGCTTGATTTGTAATTAAAATGTTTAAACTACTGCGAAAGGCAAATTACGCACAGACGACGTGGCTGATACGGCAAAATTACGCATTCATATGAACACATTTTGACGAGGACCTCCTCCTACAGAAGGCACCGGTAGCCCACTTTGAAGGACACCTGTCTGGACTCTCAGCTGTGCTGCTGGTGTCAGTTTGACTTAAGTGTTTTTTTGTAATGCGAGGTTTAAGCGGTAACACCCATAAAGTTAATCTCACGCTTTTTTCTGGCCTAATCTACAGTTTAGATTTCAGGTATAACTTATAATAAAGTTTCCTGAACCCAAATCCTGCAGTAATATATATAAAAAAAGACAAAAACACTCGGCTGAAAGTGATGCGTGGTGGAGCTGTACCCTGAATTTCACGTGGCACAGAGAAATACTCTTTTCTCTCTGCTTTCAAAACGATTCACAGCAGACAACACACAATCCAGTCGATAGCACAGGCAGAGCGCTACCTGTGATTGTGATGCAAATGTTAATGGACTCTGAGGTCCTCTGATTAGCCTGATGTGGGCTAATTTCCCAGCTCTAATCCCCAGAGAGCGAAGAGTGCCATTTCACCGTCCCTTATTAATTGAGGAGTGTTCGGGTGGTATTTTCTGCCTCGCTGAGCAGGCGCAGCAGCCAGACAGTCGTGGGTTAAATGGAAGGTAATATGGCACAGGATCCAGAAATCTTAACCAAAAAACCCCCACATTAAAACGGCCACATGTGCGCGTTTTGTTGGCATCACTGTCTCGTGTCGGCTCGGCTTAGTTCGTGCGTCAAACACACAAACACACAAATAGTGGCACAGTGCCATATCTTTCTATTGTTTCATTGAAAACATTCATGGCTGAGCTGCAGACGCTGAAAAAGCAAAAGTTGACTATAATTGTATTCAGCGATGCCATGGTAACATAAAACCACTGTTAATCTTTGACACTGCACCGGCGTAAAGACGTCAGAAGCCCAACATTATGTATAATTTTCCTTTTGATCCAATAGTCTGGCTTATGGTGGCAAACAAAAGCAAACTGCCGCCCCGGTTTATCCGGTTATTTATTTGTTCGGCCTTGTTCTCGGAATGATCTTTCTGAGAGAAAATGTTTCCTGCAATCGAAAATTATTTTATGAATCGAGAAATGGGGAGGGGCGGGGGTGGGTGGGGGTCTTGTGCCAGCTCACCCATGTGTGTAATGCGAAAATTTTAAAGAAAAAAAAAAATGGAGGGCCGAGAGGGGGCTGAGATACTGAGGAGAGAGATGGGAGGGAGGGAAAGCTGTGCGTGCGGTGGGGGTGCGTGGGCTGCAATACTGAAATAAAATGAATCTGAGGACAAACTGAGATCACGATGCAATTTTGGATTCTTCCACCACAAAAAAAAAAGGCCGAATGGCAACGTAGATGACTCGAACATGTGAGTCAACATACAAAAGCAGCGCAAACTAGACAAAGAGCTTTGATCGGTCATATCTGTGTCGACAGAGATGTGGATCCTCCTGGGACGTGGCACCCTGACCCTCTGACGACTCTCGGGATGGGTGATAAACTGGGGGGGAAATCACTTTCTTGCAAGGATATCACAGCAGCGTGCTGGGATACAAACACAACCAATACTGGCATCGTTACCTGTGTATGAAAAGTGCGGTTTGAAACCCTTAAATCTTGCTCATTCCGCCAGTTTATCATTTTAATAATAATAATAATAATAATAATAATAATAATAATAATAATGTGACAAAAAAGGGCTCTTATTTGTTTGAAAGTTGTTTGTTATCCTTGTGCACGATTTTGCGTCCCCATGCTTGTGTGGGACTCATCACATGACCATAAAACCAAACTTTACTGTAAAGTCAGACCAAATATCCACAAATGTATTATTATTATTATTATTATTATTATTATTATTATTATTATTATTATTATTATTATTATTATTATTATTATTATTATGTGTACAGCAGGTCGTGAGGAGGTCTGCAGCCGCTGTAACCTGCTGGCTGGTGGTGTCACGGCTGCTCTTTTCATCTCGCAGCACACTCCATCAGACAGTGCGGAGCGCAGATCA